TTTTGTTTTGTTTTGTTTTCCTCCTTTTTAATTTAACCTTTCAGTTTCTTCTGGAAAATGAATTTATGAGTTTTTTATATCTACTTAACGTTATAAAGACCAATAAATTCAGAAAAAAAAATCCTACCTCATTCACTTTCTGACTGTGTAACTGGACAAGGTACCAAACCTCGTGCCTCTGTTTTCTCATCTGTAAAAGAGGTACAGTAATAATCCCTACCCACAAGGTCATTTTGAGGACACGACTTGATGTTTTTAAGCACTCAGATCCACATCTGGCCTATAGTAAATGTTAGTAAATAGCATTTAATGAGCTGGCATTATTATTATCTCAACCTCACAGAGGAAGAGGTTGAGGCTCACAAGGGTCTTGCTCACTCGCTCAGGGATTGGAAGAGCCTAAATTTCTTTAGCATTTCAAGAATCGCAGCTTAGCTTAAATAAAGTACTCAAATGCCAAGAGAATGCTTCGAGAACGTTCACACTGCATGCATGAGTATACAACTGCAGTCACTGTAAGGGCATCCCCAACTCCTCCGAAGGCTCCCTGGGGTCTGCCCCCAGTCAACACCTCCCCCCAAGTCAAACGCTGTTCTGATTTTTCACCCTAGATGTGTTTGGTGCCTGTTCTGAATGTCATGTAAACCGAGCCACACAGTACGCTTCTTTGAAATCTGAAATTGAAATCCAGATGCTCCCCTAGAAATCGCCGTCTTTAACTATTAGCCCCTTAAAGCAAAATCTGCTTAGGCTGTCCTTTTCTCCCCGCCCTCTTCCTCCTTTCCTTTCTTTCAGCTCCGCACCTGAAATGTAGCTGTCCATCAAGTCTTCAACGAATTCTAATTGGCTAATTCTACCAAGGCGCTAGAATCCCACCCAAGCGGGAAGCAAATGATAGGGCACAGTGTCAACGGGCTGACCAATGGGAGGATGGCATATTCCAAGCAATCCACCAGTGGGAGGGTGATGGTCTTGCCCTCTGCAATCGCCTCTGCAGAGCGGCCTCGTGCCCTGGCAGTTTGACACTGTCCTTGTAACCCCGGAAGCTGCCTTCGAAGCCATATGGGATGCAGGATGGCGATCCCCGACTCTCTACATCCCTCCTGGGTCTGTCCCAACTCTCTCCTCCCTGGAATGGATGGGAAGGGAGGTTTTTTCAGACAAAAATAATCTATATGTGAATATGTGTGTTTTCAGTGTTTCTCCTTTTTTCTTTTTTAGATCTTTTGTAATGGGATAACAATGGGCTTTCTTTTTCTTTTTGAAAAAATGTTATTTTAAAATTTCAAGTATCTTGACAACTTGAACACGTGCCTGCCTTCCTTTTTCCAAGATTTGGTTGCCAAAGGGAAACATCACCTCCCTTTCTATCCTTGCACTTTGTCCCTTGAGGTGAGGCCCTGTGACTCGGGGTGGCGGTGAGGGGATGCAGAGGATGGGACAGGGTGGAGTTAAGGAAGAGCAGCAGTCATCTCATCAGGGTGAAGGAGAAAGAGGAGGAATTTTAGGTTGTGAGATGGATTGGGAGGTCTAGACCAGCTTCAGGGGTTACAGGAAAAATGAATGAAATTGTTGGAATTGGGTTTAAAACAAGAATTAAGATGTCCAATTGCCTTGAATGATGGATATTAAAAGTGCAATGAGGATCCCAAAGAGATTAGAGGAGAGGTATGCCTGGTGGCTTTTGGTAGTTACAGAAGGATGGATCTAATGGGCCATTGTGTTACTGGGGTGACAAAGGCTGGTGGGCAGGGACCTGAAGGACACTGTGTTGAGGTGTTTTCATGGCCATCTTTTTCTTACCTTCTCTGCCACAGACAGGCATGACCTTGCTCTTGCTACTAGGTTGTGTCTTCTTCCCATCATGCTTCTCTGTGCTGCGTTGGGGCCTGCAGAACCACACTGACCTGCAGATGGAGAGACAAGAGGCTGTTTTTATGGCATCCAAGTAAGAGGGTCTCCTTCCTGGGGCCAGGGCTGGTGGAGCTGATCTTTTACTTTCCGGAAGAGTTAGTGGTGAAAGCAGAAGCAGAGAGTGGGTTGGGGCAAGGGTGGGGTTACGTGTCAAAAGACACCAGCTAGGGTATCTCTTGCAAGTCATTTAACCTCTCTGAACTTCAGATCCCTCATTTGCAAGTGGGTTTAACAATAACACCCACTTTCTTCATGGAGATGTGAGGGTCATGTGAATTTGTCTATAAAGTAGAGTTGGCAGACTCTTGCAAACAATACCAGGAATGTAGGCTCTGTAGGGGTGTTGTGAGCTGCAGGACTCCCACTCCATCTAATGGGGGCAGAAGCTGCTCAGCTCCAACCTACTTGACAAAGCTTAATATAAATATGAGCTACCATCAGACCATAGGTAGGGGAGGGAGTACACAGAAGGCAGAACTTACTAGGGTATCTGAGTGAATTTCCAGCAGGCAGAAAAACCTGTCTCTACCTGCATTAATCTTCATCATGCAAAGTGAAGCTGCAGCACCTTGACCAGGTTAGTGGCCCTCCATAGGCAGCTATATGGGCCTACCAGCACCCATCCTCCCTCCGACTCAGTACATTTTTGTAGCTTTGCTCACCTTTGGCTATGGAGTTATGCAAAGCTGGGTTTGAAATCCAGCTTTATCAATTCCCATAGCTGTGTGATCCTGGCAAGTTTTTTTTTTAACTTCTAAATTTCAGTTTCTTCTGTAAAACAGGGAGACCACCACCTGGGAAGGTTAAATAAAAGCCAACATAAATCACCTCGCACTGTGCCCAGCATGTAGGAAAAACACAGGATGTTGGGTCCCTTTTCTTCCTAAAGTGAAATCAGAAGCCAGGTCCAGTGTTGTCCCTAACACTGTCTCGGGATCTGACTTCCCAAGATCTTTCCTACAGCGCGCCACTAGAGGGCAGCACAAAACCGCAGCTCCCAGCCCCTCGCCTCTCTTGAGGGGAGGAGATGGGGTGGGCTTTGGGCAGGGAAAAGCAACTTGTAGGGTTGGTTATTGAGGCGCATTTCAGGGCAAGCCTGGAGACCAAAGTACAGTTTGGGTAGCAGGCCCCAGGTCATGTAGACATCCACAGGACAGAGTTTAGGGCAGGACAGCAGAATTCCGGAGAGGCGGCCCCCGGAAGAAGGAGAAGCCGCTCTGATGGGGCCAGGCCTCTGACCCGCAGTGTGGTCCTGGTCAAGTCACTGGGCCCACTTTCCTCATGGTGGAATGAGGGGCTGGAACCTGCCAATCCCTGAGGTCCTTTCCCACTCTGAAACTAGGCTGTTCCATGAAGTCGCAGAGGAAGGAGGCCAGGTGTATGGTAAAACTGGAGAAAAAGAGAGTGGTCAGTGCTTGGGGGTGGCCAGGGGCAGGCGGAAGCCTGGAGAACAGGAGCTGGGCATCCTCGGGCTCAGGCAGGCTTTCTGAGAGGCAGCCTTCCCCACCTTCTTCAAACCTTGCCTTGCCACTCTGACGGCTAGTATGAGAGGTTCCTGCTGCTCCTTAACTATGTGACCTTGGGAAGCTTCACTTAATGCCTAGGGACCATTTGAGGACCTGTAAAGAGGGGACAAGCACAGCCACGATCTTGCAGCAGAATGAGGAGCACATGAAAGGTGCCTGGTGTATGTGAGCTTCTCTCCCTCTCCCTGGGGCACAGAAGGGGTGTCTCAGGGTCTGAACGATGCTGTGTCAAGGTGTTTTGTTCCCATGCATTCCCTCAACTCCTTCTTCAGACTAAGCAAGATGCCCCACTTCTTCCCCCAGGGAATCTTTTCTTCTGCTGGCCCGGGAGCCCCTAACCTGGGACCCCAGGCAGGCCACTGAGGGATACATGTTGGGAGGCACTGGCAGAGGAGGAAATGCCAGGCATTCACAAAGTGCTGATGGGAAAGTCAGGCCCATCTCGGAGCTCAGAGCCCTCTCCCAGCTGGCCAAGGAGCCCTGGGCCAACTTCCTCCCCAAACGAAGAGCCATCCCTCCCTGGGCCCTTGTCCCCAGCAGCCCCCTGTGCTGCAGCTGCTGTCTCTTTAAGGGCCTCCCCCTCCCTCTTTCTCTGCTCCCCCCATCTCTGTCGCAGCCGCTGCTGCTGTGGCTCAGAGCTGCATGGGGAGACGCCGCTGCAGGTCCGGTTTCTTGGTGTCTGGTCTGTGCCACCCTTTCCCCACCCCTCCCCCACCCTCCCCAAGCTGGAGACTTCCCCCTCACC